AGCATACCTACAGGTTGGGGAACTCCCTTCTCGTCAGTGCAGAGGCAGAAAAGGATCTTGGAATCATTATTGATGCCAAAATGAACATGGGCCGACAGTGTGGGGACGCGGTCAGGAAGGCCAACCACACCTTGTCATGCATCCACAGATGCATCTCAGGCAGGTCCAAGGAGGTGATCCTCCCCCTCTATGTGGCATTGGTCAGGCCGCAGTTGGAGTATTGCATCCAGTTCTGGGCGCCGCACTTCAGAAGGGATGTAGACAGCATTGAGAGGGTCCAGAGGAGGGCCATTCGCATGATCGGGGTCAGCAGGGGAGGAGAAGCTAAGGGACCTGAACCTGTTCAGCCTCCACAAGAGAAGGCTGAGGGGGGATCTAGTGGCCTGTTACAAACTAGTCAGCGGGGACCAGCAGGCATTGGGGGAGTCCCTGTTCCCCCCAGCACTACCAGGAGTGACTAGAAATAACGGTCACAAGCTGGCAGAGGGTAGATTCAGGCTAGACATCAGGAGGCGCTACTTCACAGTCAGGGCAGCTAGGATCTGGAATCAACTTGCAAGAGAAGTGGTGCTGGCTCCTACCCTGGGGGTCTTTAAGAGGAGGCTAGATAGACGCCTTGCCGGGGTGTTTGACCCCAGTACTCTTTCCTGCCATGGCAAGGGGTCAGACTTGATGATCTGTCAAGGTCCTTTCTGACCCTACAAACTATGAAACTATCTCCCAAATCTCCCTTTAATTCCTTGGATGAGCCAGAAGGAGTGCCAGTAGCTCTTCTTTCTGGTACGCTTCAGCTTCAGGCTTATTTAGTGTCATCTTCTCTGGCCTGACATGGCTTGGCTTGACCCGCATGGCCTTGCTCCTACTTGCACAGCCATGCACCGTCACTCTGTAGACTGAAGACAGGGCTGAGGGGGTCCAGTCCTAATTCTGCCACTGGTCTACTGGTTAACCTTGGGCATATCTCTCCATCACTCTGTGCCTCAGTATCCCCAATTTGTATTTTGGGGACAATGATACCATCCTCCTTTGCCAAGTACTTTGAGATCTGCTAACCTAAGATGTGACCCCTTCGGTATTCATCGTTATCTGATTAAAGTCTCTTTTTGCCTGGGTGACTACACTGATGAAATTCCTGGAGGTGGCTTTGTTTTCTGTCTAAAGGGGGGGAATGCTTTCTTGGTGGCTATTCCACCCCCCTTCTTCTGTCAATCTGTGGTGAAATAAATACAGTGCCCATATGTACAGGGCTTCACTGAGTGCTTTGTCCTCTTTTTTCAGAGCCTCCTGTCTCCTTTTCACGGCTGCCTTGCAGTGGTGCTGCCAGTGCTTGCCCGCCTGGCAAGTCAGAACATGCTTGGTCCCCAGCAGACCGACAGCAGAAGATGGCCAAGCTGCAAGAGCCTGGGGATGATTTGGGGGAGGGCATTTTGGTGGCTCCCGAGCTGGATGGATCTCGCCTTGCAGGCAACAGGCTTAACCTGGATGTTTATCCTGACGGCTGTCACCAGTTTCTTGACCTGTTTGACAAGCAAAAGAAGGAAGTGACTCAGGTGGAGTTCCTGCGGTTGAACTGCAACGAGGACCTCATAATCTCCACGCTGGCCATCCTGCCTGCCCTGAGGACCCTGAAATCCCTCATCCTCAAAGGTAAGCCTGCGCATCTGCAGGACAAATGGACTTTCAATTTTCACTGTGCACTAGCTGCCCTTTGCAGTGGCTCCAGGTCTCAACTGAGCTAGTTGGGAGCTGCATACAAATGGTAGATTTCAGCAAGATGCAGCTTAAGGACATTTACGTCCTTCCTTTGTTTCCACAGTGCCCGGGGACCAATTTCCTGACTTCATTCAGTCTGACAGGTGCAGTCTTTTATTGTAAAGTCACTTGAAATGAGATGTTGGGGGGAGCTTCAGTTGAAGAGAGTCTGATCTGAAGATGTTAGAATGTGTGGTCACTTGTTTTCCTCCCTTCTCATCTCCCTTTTTTTGAAAGCGTAACAGTCCCTTTCACTGGATTTCATTCTGTTCTGGTTTTCTGGCCAGATCATAAACCAAATTGCATTAGCATAACATGGGGAAGAGGGTTCAAGGAAGGTCAGCTGCATTTGCAGAAGGGGGTTCTTGTCATTTTACCCGGAGCACAAAAAATATCAGTGTGGATGTGCATATATATGATTTGGAGCCTGTGGTCTGACAATGCTTAAAAATATATAGAGAAACATCTGTTGACTTTTGTATTATTTTTGGTTTTGGGATCTGTACGCTACAAGAATGTGCCTAGTAACCTTTAACAATATTGAACCACCCGGCTCTCAGAAGGGAAACACATAGATACTTCCATGACAAAAGGGCAGCCCAGTAGTTACTGCTAGTCAGGGACTTAGTCCCTTGTTCTGCCACAGACTTTGTATGTGACTGTGGGCAAATGACTTAATTTCTTGGTTCTCCATCAGATGACACCACTTGTCTATAGATGACAGCCCATCCCTGGAGATGAGAACATTTTTCTATGGATAACCAAGCATCTTGCAGCACAACAGAGTGTGTACCAGAGGGTTTTTCTCCTGTGTCACACAATAAATATTAATACTGAGGAGAGAAGCAAAGTAACAAATAATTAGTATGTTTTTATATGCCTCTTAGTAAACCAGTTATTTGTTACTTTGCTAATCCAGGATTTCCCAAGTAATCTTTCTTCCACTGTATAACAAAAATCCTCCGGTATCCTACGATGTAAACATTCACATAGGGATGGCAGAAGAAAGGAGTACGGAGGATACTGGTATATTTTTTGAAGGCTGAGCTTGACTCACATGTTGCTTTTTAACACTTTTTTTTTCTGGGTGTATCACTTGCCTTATTAAATCACAAACCAGCCAGAAATCCTTTGAGGATGCCAGGAAGGGCCTTGAAAGTGCAGACAAGCAGCTTATTTAATGTGATAGAGCAGGGGTGCTCAGCCCTCAGTGCATGGACCAGATCCAGCACATGGATATCCTCATGATCTGAACATTTGGTAGTGGGGAAGCAGTGACATCTAATTGCCGTTCCCCTGTTGCCAAATTTCTGGACCTGTGGGGAGCTCCACGGGGCAGATGGTGTGGGCCCATGTGCTGAATTGGGCATATGGGGCTCATGGGGGCTGATCTGGTTAACTAGGGTGACGTGCGACTGATTGGGGCTGATCAGGGTGGTGTGGGATTGACTGGGGCAGTGTGGGATTGATTGGGATGGTGCATGGCTAATTGGGTCAGTGTGCTGTTGATCAGGGTTAGCATGGGGCTGTTTGGGCTGGCAAAGAGCTGGACAGAGGTGGTGAGGGGCCCAGTCCTGGCCCGCGGAGCCTGATCCAGCCTGTGGACTGGTCCTGTGCTACGCATCCAGCCCATAGGGTTGAAAGGTTGAGTACCACTGTGATAGAGAAAGAGGCAGTGAGCACAGAGAAGATGTGGGGAGTTGGGGTGACGGGATGGGGTCATTGTATAAACTGATGAGCTTTAAAATAAACTTTGTGGTAGCATTCTTGAGAGGCGACACAACCTTTTGTCCACATCGGAGAAAAGGACGTTGTAGTGATTGAGGCATGAGATGGTGAATTTTAGCTGTATGGATGGATAGGAAAGGCCAGCTCTTAGAAACATCATGCAGAAAGAATTGGTAAATATAGATGTGGCCATCATGGGAAGACCTAGAGAGAGGGCTCAGGGGAAGCAGACTCTCAGGTCTAGACCTGAGTGATGGACAGGATGAAGGGTGGTGGTTGTCCAGAATGATTGTGAACTGAACTCCTTCCAGTTTTCCATCCTATTGACATGACTGTGATTATGCATGAACATCTTTGACTAACCACATAGAATCTGTGTAAGATGAAGGCCTCTCTCTCCTTTTCCCTGCCACAGGTGGACATGCCCGGGATGAATTTGGTGCATGTCAGAGAGGCTCCCTGACAACCTTGCCTCCCGATTTTGGAAACCTCATGTGCCTCACTCACCTGGATCTCAGCTTCAATAGCTTCTCCAGCTTACCCAGCTGCATCACCCACCTTGCCAACCTTAGTGTACTTGTGGTAAGCCACAACTGCTTGGTGGGGCTGCCTGAAGACTTTGGTCATCTTACTAAGCTGACTGATTTCTTCGCCATAAAAAACCATTTCAGGGATCTGCCTCAGAGCATTGGGGAGCTGGTGGCACTGAAGAATCTGGACTTATCTGAGAACACACTGGAAAGCCTCCCTGAGGAAATTGGGAATCTTTACAACTGCATGGAGCTGAATCTCTCAGGGAACCGGTTAACTCATGTCCCTGACTCACTAGGTAAGAGATGTGCCTAGAAGAGAGACAGACAGGCAGACAGAAATTTCCTGCTCCTGAAATAGAGTGGATGGGTCCTTGAGCAGAAAGACATGACAAAAATCAGCCTCACGATGCAATTGGTCTCTCTCACTATGAGGTTCTTTGGGAGATCCCCCTAGTTTTACTTGCAGAAGGGGAGGATCTAGTCTGTTTGGAGCCAACTCAGCTCAGTTGATGGGTCAGTTGGTCACCTTGAAGAGTGAAAAGAAAACCCACTGTGCAATCCTTGGTTAGTGGGCATCAGTATAACTCCAGGAACTTCAATCTCATTTACCTCAGACGAGGATCTGGGCCCTTGGCAGGCCTCTGACAGGATTTCTGCTTCTGTGTAGGTTTGCTGATATGAGCCAAGGTGTCTGTGTGTATGATGGGTGAGGGGGAAGGGGAGGAAAGTCAGGAGAAACAATTAATTGCACCAATTGGTTGCTCTGCCTTCAATCATGCGTGGGTCACCTGTGTTCTTAGGCCTGTTTGGACTGGGGCTACTTCCCCACCTTTTCCTGCCCTCTGTCTTGCTGTGCCCAGACCTTTCCCATGGTAGTTGTCATTATTTACATCCCACAGCCTAGATCATAGGACAGAGACCCTGTCATGGTAGGAGCTGTTGCACAAAATAGAAAGACGATCTTTGACCCAAAGAACTTTACTGCTCCCTGTTCCACTGATCTTGGTGCCTCTTCCATGATTTCGATATACAGACAACGTTTAGGCACCTCTGTGATTTTTGTTTCTCTTTGGGGAGTTAGCCGGGGGGGATGGGAAGGGGCATTTGGGTAGTGGGTATCTATTGTAGTAAGCTGCTGATAGAATCTGTACCCATAGATCTACCAAGTGGCAATTTTTCTACTTTTTCTAACCTGCAGCCAATTTGGGATCTCTGCACCAGCTGCATCTTCACAGCAATCTCCTAGTGACAGTCCCTGCATCCCTCGCCAACCTTCCCAACTTGTTCAGGCTTGACTTGCAAAACAACAGGCTCCGCTACATCCCCCCTGAGATCCAGAGCAAACCCTTCGTACATCTCCGGGGCAATCCTCTAGGAGAACCTGAGATGCCCCTGACGCCTGGTAATTATCTCTCTTCCGCTTCACTGGGTCTTGAACAGCTGCTTCCAGTCTCCAGCAAGTGTCATGTGCTAGGGTGTGAATGTGATTGACTTGGGGGTGAGGGGTAAGTGTTAGATCCTAATTTATTTCTGTGACCACATTACCAGTACATGTATTGCTGCACAGGCAAAGGCAAGAATCTGTCTCTTCCTTGGGGAGTTTATAGTCTTAACAGGAGAGGGGATGAATCAAGGAAAGACATTTGCCTGCATATGTAGTTACAGACAAAGCTAGTCCTGAAAGACATTCTCTGAACTCCTGTTCATTCTAACACACAAATACTCCTTGCAAATGCCTGCTCATTGGAAAGATCTTGCTGTCAAGGCAGAGGGAGGGTTGTGGCATGGTGCCAGTGGGAAAAGGAAGCCAGGTGTAACCTGTCATATTGGTGAGCCAAAAATGGCCTCCACTGGCCCTACTCTTCTATCCCACTTGCCCTTCTTATTCTGATTGTCCACAGATGAATCCAGCTCAGGAGAGTTACAAAGGCTGGTCCTTGCACCGGATGAGAACAGGTATTTCACAGTGTTTCTTTAATTAATAGTACTTTGCATTACCCAGCTCAAATCAGAGCTCCATTGGGCTAAGAGCTGCACAAAGGGTCCTTGGCCTTGATTCAAGTGGACCAGATAGAGACAGGGCTGGTATTTCTGAAGTGACAGAGTTTTACTGTCTAATTCACAGAATTTAGGTCTTGCTGGTCAGGGAGGGGGCAGGAGGTGGGGAAGGAGAAGTTGAGTGATGCGTGATGTCCTTGTATGCTGTTCTTCACTTAAATCTTTGCTTTAAGCTTTACTGTGACACCCAAAGGCTGCAAAGCTCTCCTGGCCTGCGGCATCCGGCTTTACTTCCCCCCCGGGGCTGCCACCACCTCTATCACAATCCATTTCCAAACACTCGTTCCTGATCCACAGTGGGTGAAGCTGAGGCATCATGATATCCTGTTGAGCAAAGTCCTGGAGCTACAGCCCCATGGGCTTGAATTCCAGCAGGTGAGGCAGGTGGTGGGAGAGGGTGGAGTAGCACTCTGGGTTTCCTGTAGCTTGTGGGGCTAGATGTGCACATGTGATTTGGCTAGAAAAAACCCTCTTGTGGTCTAAAGGAGCCACTCCCTGGACCCTGTCTGCCAAGACTGCCAGACTCTTGTCTGGACCCTGTGTGCCAGGTGCCCTGAGTGCTGGAACTCAGACAGCTGCTCCCAAACATTTGGATGGATCAAATGTTAAAGAAAGCGCCACAGAAAATACTCAGTGCTGGCAAGGTCTTCTCTTCCAGGACTGCTCTGTCCTGGCACCTTCACCCTCCCCTCTACTAGCACTTGATCTGCTCTAGGGATGAGACCCTTCTCAGGTACGATACATCTCCTCCTGTAGTGTAGGCCTGTTCCTGCGTTTGATCTCAGGAGACCACTTGCACCCCGCCCTTGGGGTGTGCTGGGATAAGGTGAGGAGATGAATTATTTTTGAGAAAATAACCCAAGTTAAACAACCTTCCCCTCCCCCCCCCACACACACACACACATGCACAAACACAACACACCATCTGAACCCAAAGTCCTTTTAAGTCACCAAGTTTGGGTTGGTGAGCAGCACTCTCACAAGTAGCCTCAGCGACGTTAGATTGTAGTCAGCAGGAGATGAGGATTTCTCAGCCATCCCCGCAGGTCCTGAGCTTTCTTGAAAGACACAACAACACATACACCCAACTGTTCCTGCTAGAGAATCGTCCTTAGCTCCTTGTCTGGCTGCCTTTGGTGCCGACAGGCTACAGAAGAGATTAGATTCCCTGACCACCTCCATTCCCTGCCTCAAATCTGCACTTGGCCTTGCCTTGCCTATATAGTGGAGTGGGTGAAAGCCACTAGAATTGGTCTGCTATTCGTGTTGGCATCTCATGAAAATGCCCCCATTTTCCCATTACCCTGCCAGGAGGTGCAGATCTGCATGCCTTATGCCTCCCCTCAAACCATTCACGAGCGAGAGGTGGTGGTTCGGACCTTCAGTGGGCAGAGCTGGAGTGACTTGGGAACGAAAGTGGAATGGAAAAGAAAGACAAAGGTAAACGGGTTGGGATAATCCCCCATTGTGTGCATACCTGATTTTCATCTGCAGTGGGTGGCAGGGCTCAACTTCTCCCAACCCAGAGACACCCGAGGGAGCTTCAGATGACCCCAAGTAGTGCACTTTGTTCATCTTTAATGGAGTGGAGTGAAGCATCTGCCCATCACTCAAATAGAGTGGTGGCTCTGGGAGATAAGAGGCTCCATCACGCAGTGCTCCATCTTGCTATAGATTCTACTGGGTTAGGCCATATATGAAGTGAAGTGTGAGTTTAGTGAAGGTTCAACTGTAAGCTGCTATGGGCTGACCACAGCCAGGCATGTTTGGTCATACTAGTAGAGCTGGCCATTTTTACTTTTGCGGCTGGCATTGCCCAAGGACGTGTTCAGGGCCTTTGTCTTTCCTGTTCATTGTTCAGGCCCTTTGCCTCTGCTGCAGCCAGGCCAATAGATAACACCCCGAGGCTACCCAGGACTTGTCAGAAATTCAAAATAAGCAAAAGAAGTTAAATGAACTAGCATTTAGCTGACTTCTGGCGGTTCTTCACAGGCTTCTCCTTCTGGCTATGTCTTATCTCTCGGAGGCTTTGCAGAGCCTGCTGGCTTGTGCAAACAAAGGCAAACAAAATGAAGGAACAAAAACAAATGAGCAGGAGCCCTGCTCTTGGGCCACAACTGGGGGCTGCCTAACCCCAGTCTCCAGGCAGCCTCCTCTAGCCAGGTGCAGCCTCCTGAGACTGTTTTCAGCATCTTTTATTCTTCCCCTGCTGGTGCTGACCCACATGTCTGACTTTTCCTTATTCATCACACCTGTGTCAGGTCCCTTGCTGGGAAACTCACTGCATCCCCCAGACCTGGTTCCCCAGCCTTTGGTGAGTCCTTCCAGGTCTGGAGTGGGCATGAGGAGGTGCTTCCAGGGTGCAGAGCTGTTCAGACTCCCCCACAGCCCTAGTAACAGGGCCCTGCCTTGTTACATCAACCCATGCTTCCCCTACCAGTACGGAGCATGGCATATACTACCAGCTTGGTCTCCCAGAGTATCACTCACAGCTGTCATGGTGCAAGTTTTCGCTCTTGTGTCTTAAGTAAATTGACTTTATTGGTAGATCTCTTTGGATGTAAGTGTGACCAATTGTATCTCTCTTGTATTTTATATATATACACATACATACACATGCTGTATAAATGAGCCTTTGGCTGCCATCGTTCCACAGATTTCATTAGGTGTTTACCAGTGTTACTTTATTAAAGATTTGACCCATTCCATGTCCAAAAGATAGTGTAATACCTTACTTATGCATGTGTTCTCTATTCCCTACATCTTGCAATAGAAGCACATGGCACTCTGTAGTGTCCCTCACTTCTCCTGGTTCCTGGTCATCTCTCAACTCGTGGAGAATAAGTGCAACGTCCCACGGGAGGGCACATTGCTCTTTTCCACAGTGGATCCCAACATCAAGGTGACCTTCCCTCCTGGAGTCACTGAGAAGCCTCGGACCATCAGGTTGCAGGTGTGTGTCGTTTAAAAATATAACCTTAGACATGGTGTTATTGCTGCCTTTGGTTGGGCTGAATAGTAGGCAATAGGCGAGGTGGCCTAGCTGGAAAAGACAGTGAGTCAAACACAGATTGGGGAACTTCTGATCTGGACTCCTTGTGGCTTTACACTTAGCCTCTTTGCCTCCATTTTCCTCTCTGTAATATGGGCTAAAGTAATCAAGAGTCATGGTAGAAATGATATCTTTTATTAGACTAAAAAGATTTTTGCAAAAAAAGTTATTTAATTGCAAGCTTTCAGGCACAAACACCCTTCATCAGTCATTGGAGAAAAAATTGTAAAAGTTCTCCTGGGTAGAAATGAAAGTTCATATTTCATAGGATTTCACAGAGGAGTCAATAGATGGAAAACTCCTTTGGGCAGTCAGTTATAACTGGTATGGAGCCCCTCACGTCCTGTGAGGATCTGTGATGATGCAAATTACCTAGAAACAAAGGCAGGAGCAGGATCTCAGGTTTCAGGTGGTCACAGTTGCTTCCTGCTTGGGAAAATATGAAGATTTCGTTTTTAAAAAATTGGCTAAAATTTGGTATCTTCCATGTGTCAGGCATCCAGGTTGTAGCTGTATTGGTCTAAAGGAAAAAGCTAGGTACTTACAGCATGGCAGGAGTTTTGAGAACATAGGACTCATGGTAAGCTTAGGACTCATGTATTAGGCATGTTTTGCTGAGATCCAATGTAGTTCAACACCCAGTGGTGTCATTTGACAATCGTTGGGTCTTCTCTGCTCAAGTTCTCAGAGGTACTGACTGCTGGTCCCTGATAAGAAGCTCAACTAGTGTCCTGGAGGGCTGAGCACTTATGCAAACTGTGCCTATAATGTAGAGATGCATTGTGTCCCCACTTCCTGCTGCAGCCTACCTGTCTCCAAAGCTGTGAGCTTTCCAGGCAGTAGATTTTCAGAGAGAAGTTGTGTCATGTCATGGTGTGGGGTGGGGAAAGCCCTGTGAGAAGCTTTCTGTCTGTCCTACAACCTTCCTTAATGCAGTTCTAGTCCCTCTAGCCTTTTTCCGAGAAGGCTGAATGAGGTTCTGCATGGAGCTCTACTCACATTGCTCCTAAGAAGCCAAAAGGTGACACGAGGCATTAGTCTCTTGCTCATCCCTGAAAATGAAAAGCATGGCATACCAGCTCAGTGAGTGAGAGTCAGTGGGCTATTATTCATGCTGGTCTAACTGAAGCAGCTCCATTAAAATTAGTGGGTTGTTAATTGGTTAATTAGATGCTTGTAATTGCTATTGTAGTGCTAGGCACTTGATCTGGAGCAGGGCTACATTTGCTGGGTTTATAACAGTAGCTAAGAGCAGAATCTGGATCTATGACTAGAATTCACAGCTCTGCATTGCCAATCAGTGGTTTGTGCTAGTGAAGCCTTTGTGTGCTGGGTTTTGCTGCACTGTCTTCTGATTTGGCAAAGTGGGTTTGTTAAGGATATTAACGTTAGTTAGCTGTATTAGGCAGAATGCAGGGTATTGGGGCGTCTTATAGACAAATAGGATCAGAAATGCACAAGCATCTGATGAGGTGAGCTGTGACTCATAAAAGTTTATGCATCTCTGATTTTGTTAGTTTATAAAGTGCATCTCTACCCTCTGCCAGACATTAAGCTGATTGGATTATTGTTTACTGTCCAGGTTTTGCCAGTGTCACCCGACGACCTGAAGGAGATCATGGGTGATCCAGAGTCCAGAGCCAGTCCCCTTCTCTGTCTCTCCCAGAACTCTTCTCTGGATTTCCTGAGGCCAGTTAAAGTTCAGCTACCATTACCACCTGGAGTCACAGGTCAGTCTATTGCTGGACTTGGCCAACAAAAATCTTCTCAGCTAAAGTCATTACACTTGTTAGATAGTAAACTATGCTGTAAACAGCCAGGGCTTTTCAGGGCGTGCAGGAACAACCCTGACGTTCCTAGCCACAAAGCTTAGTACATCAGCCATAGAAGAGCTCTCTAATGGGACAGGTCTACAGCACAAAGCAGAGTGAATTGACCTAGTAAGTGCTCTGGAGTTAGACTGCTAAAGGTTAGACTGCTATAGGTACTTATTTAGCTCCAGTATCACTACACTACACTGCAGACCACAGTGTAGACATACCCATAGGGAGCTCCTTCTTCCCACTTTTTCCTGAAGTGTGCTTCTGGGACTTGTCTTTTCCATCCTGAAGCAGTACTAACACCCATCAGCTCCCTGCAGGGTAAAAACTATAGTGTTTCTGTTCCAAAATTATAGAGGAAAAAAGGGGCAAGGCTGGAAAAATCCTAGTGGTTTTTAGATGGTGATATATAGCTCTAGCTTTTCTTTTTTCTTTTTTTGCCCAGGGCTGCTCAAAGGCTTTGCGAGCATTACATGCTATTAAATGCACAAGGGAATGTGAAAGCAGTGGAAAGGTTGCACATCCAGGGTCTGATTCTGATCTATATGTTTCCATTCACCTCAGCAGTGTTGCAACCTCCAATAGAAAGAATTCAGGAAGTGTCATTGGTGTAGATTCCCACACTACACAGAGCACTTATACTGCACAGCAATATAAGGCACTGACAAATAGTTGTTCAGCAGAAATATTCTCCTGCTAGAGGTGAAGCAAAAGTACTTATTCATTTTTCAAGGTGGCTTTTTAAGACGGGTTCTAAGCCAAGAAGGATGATGTTTTATACCTCTAACAATAATCCACCCACAATAAACCATTCACTAAAACTGTTGTGGTGGCATTTGGGATTCCCGTTTCCCACCCATTTTAGTGGGAAATGGTGTCTACCCGCCTTAGACAGCTGGGAAAAATGTCAGCCCTTGTTTACAACATGGCTGACTGAACATTTTTGTTGGAACCAAAACTTAATGTGCAGCATTCATATCTGCATCTGCCTTGCACCTATGGAAAGGTGGTTGAGAGAAGGTTCTTTAGATATTATGACTAGGGTTTTTGTGCACTGTTATGACTGCTAGGCATTGACTTGATGAGTAACAAGAAAGATTGCCTTTATTTCGAAAAGTTTCCAGTCTAGCTTGGAAATCAGTTTTATCCAGATTATTACCATTTGTGTTGGGTGGAACCTGGCAGGTACTTAGCAGTTTGCAGTAATGTTTTCATTGAGGAATGTGCTTCATGTCATTCAGTTTAAGATAGGAAGTGAGGCATAATGCAACCAGCTGAAATAGTGTGCACTGGAATGATAGCCTCAACAATTTTATTTATCTATGGCCTAAATCAGTTTCCTACCCACAGATGCATTTATCTAGCTGGGTTTGGTGTGATGGATGGCAGAAAACACAATTACAAATTGAAGAAATTTGTTCTGCTAGGTATTTAATCCCCAGATCCTTCAATTTTCCCTGACCTTCTCATTAGGTAGTAAAATCTGTTTGGGAGTTTACTTGGCTTCATCTGTAAGACTTCTTATTATTTGTATTGCTGTCATGTCATTGGTATTTGGAGCCCTTTTTTGCCCTGCACTGTCCAAGCAGACAGAAGCTTGATGAATATCCAAGCACGCTGGTAATAGGAAGAGATCAGTTAGGTTACCTGATCCATCCACAATGTCAAGTTAAGATAAGGTGTCTTGCTGGGGAAGCCTGGGACCAGTGCATTGGGAATTCAGGGCCAGCCTTTGGTCAGTAAGCAAGAGAGGACAGAATTTGGCACTTCCCAAAGGTAAACAGTTGTAGGTAAGAAAAAAATTAACCCAAAGTTCCAGCTGTTTTGCCCTAGGATTCCTAAGTTAATAAGCTGGAAACAAAGCCATGGTTACCCAAAATGCAATTGAGGCTTATACAACGTGTAGTATCTCTCGAGGATAATTTTGTTCTGTTGTTGCTAGGTTTAGATCTAACTTTGGATCGTTCCAGAGTACATCTTCTTCATGGTGACCTCCAAGCCCAAATTTGGGATGACATCACAGATCAGGTGGTGCTGGAGTTCACTCATCGCTATGCAATATTTGAAGTCACCCACTTCTCCTGGTGAGCTCCAGTCCATTCACAGACAGTGTTTGAAGAAAAGACTGAAAGGCGGGTGGCTTTGTTTCCCTCTTCCCCTCTCTCGTGACCACTAAAACCAGGATCCTTGCCACTTTTACCATCATTTATTTTTCCTACCATTTCCTCTTCCTAGTCCCTAGTGCATTGACAAGATAGGACTTCTGCTCTAGTCTGGAGTGATGGGATACGCTGGCATTATGCACTCTGTTGATAGCCTCAATTCCTTTGCCCAGTACTTCTTGCTTTTAATCTCTACTCCTCCACCTGGGTTTCAGCAGGGAGAAGTGACCATGATCTATCTAGTCTGTGCCTACTCTGACTCTAACCATTCTGAATTGAACTCCCTGTCCCCATGCCCCCAAGCAACCAGAATCTCTCCCTTCACCCGGTGTGTTCAATGCCACCATTTTACTTTCTTCATTTTACTTTCTTGCCTTCATTCTTGGGCTGAGAACCTGCTTCTTGGAAAATGATCTATGTGAGGAGCACAGAAGGGCACCTGAGGCTGTTGCTTGGGGAAACCAAGCTCCTTTAGAATTGAGATTCTGGTTTAGGTGATGTTCTCTTACATCAAAGTAGAAAGTTTAAGACATGCCCCTTGGTTTCATAGACTTGATGGGGATTTCTCTTCCCATTTAAGAGTCCTTCCCTCACTTGCTGTTTTCCCCAGGTACTGGTTATGGTACACCACCAAGAAGTACGTCAGTGGTATTGCCAAGAAGGTCTACGAGAGGTTGCGTATGTACCAGGTGAACTTCATTGCTCTGCAGAGGAAAAAAGACCCCGAGCAAGTCTTGCTGCAGTGTGTCCCCAAGCACAAGGTATACCTTATGCTGT